TTATTATTTATTTTGTGTTCTGTCTGACGACAGGTCCGTATGAACAGGATCCTTCCATCCTTTTCTCTTCTCGGACTGGGACCTGTTCATATGCGTTCTTGGCAGATGATCCAGAAGTGGTTTGCCATTGCCTTCTTCTGTGTGTGAATGGAGTAATTGTTGGGATGCCACGGAGGAAAACTCCGTGTTGCCTAGACCACGGCCTTGCCCAACACAAGTTATAAATTCGAACCCGAGACCCCAGGATTACAAGGCCAGCTGGGGATGAGTGGATTTGAAGGAAACGATGATTCCAGTTCTAAAATGCTCCTTGTTCCGGGACAAAATCACCACAGCGGTCAAAGTTCATTGCTGATAATAAGGTCATTTGCGTCACAGAACAAACTTCCTTGTGACAAAGATTATTTTCTTAAATTATGCATCTTACCATATTATAATACGAAGCGTGTTTTTGTGTGTTCTGTGCAAAGTTTGCATAAAATTGACGCGTAATCTGGAGGTCATAACTATACATTAATATGTTTCATCTCCAAAACCGCTGTACAGTCTTCGATTTTTCTCTCAATCCTTCACCCAACTTCACCGAGCTCATATTTACTGGGCGTATGAAGTTTCTGTATTATACGCTCATCTTTTTAAGGGTCTACAAGATGAGACCTTATTTACATTATTTCAGGCTGGGCAGTAGATTTTGGACAGGGGCATGTATTTATACGCCTCGGACTCACCCAGTTTACAAGGAATAAAGAAATCTGTGTGTGAGATCTTGTTTTGTGAAGCTTCACGTCCTTCCATGTTTAATATATTCCTTCATGGTGTAGTGCAGGGGTGGCCAACCCGCGGGCCGCATGTGGCCCGCCTTGAACATTTTTCCGGCCCGCGAGATTCATCACACTTTTACAAAATATATTTATTTTATAATGGCCAAAGTAGTGAAAATCAATGTATTAAAAAATACATTATTTGTGCATCCATATATTCAAAAATTATCTGTCGAAATTATGAGAAAAAATTAACTTTGATTTTAAAATAATATTCTTGCGAATATATGACAGATATTGCCTGTTTTATTCATGAGTTTACAGTTATGAGTTCGCAGAATAATTAAACTATATTCTGCGAACTCATGATGCGCGTGCATCTTGGAACATCTAATATAACAGGTTCCATGTTTCAATGTCTATAGTGTATCTAAATCTAATATGGGGATATATAATTTTATATGTGGCCCGCGGAGTTATGATGCATTTCCAAAGTGGCCCGAAAGATCATTTGGGTTGGCCACCCCTGGTGTAGTGCATAATCGCGCAGACATCATTGTTTTTATGTTTACTTTGAATGCCAGTCGATATGGAATTTTATATCGAAGACGTGCGTATCGATTCGAATTGTTTTATACATTTTATTAATTTGTCTTTATTTATTTTGGGGTTATTTAACGACGATGTCAGTAGCTCGTCTTATCGGTTTAGATAATTTTTAAATTGACAAGTACCTAATACTAATCAGCCTTAAACACTGTGAACTATCTTTATTTATGTTACGAATTGTCGTTTATTCCATATGAATTATAAAGTTATTTTTAATTTTAATTTAAACTTGTTAATTAGTTTAAATATTATAATTGCCTTCAACGTTGTCATATCTGTAATGTAGTGGACGGTGTTACGATTTTTTAAGTACGTAACACTAGCAATATTTTGGTACCGATAAGTTACGTGACTTGCTGAATCCAAATCGATATTGAATAGCTTTTCACTGTATTATATTTTTCGATACCAGAACTGACAGCCCTATGTTCCCCCACTACTAAAAATTGGTACTGTCTGTGCCCTTATCTTGTGTTTGAGGTAACTTGCAAATTCAGGACAACTTTCACAGTAAATTTCCATTCATTAGTGTGTCCTGCTTTATAAAGTCTTACAATCTCTCTGTTCCATGTGAAACCTTACGTATCATCCTGGCGGCAGTTGGCTGGGGTCCCCACCCTGTGAAATTCCATGTGACTTCCACATGATAGCACATGTGAAACTGTTAGTGTTTGGGTTTTATTTTTCAGACTGTATTAAATTATGAAGTTATGATCTGGTTTGGAAGGTAAAAGCTGTAAGTACAACATAGTGCAGCACATAACAGAAACAGTAGATTAATATGTGGTCAAATTTATCCTCGAACCCCATTTGATTCCCATATTCTGTGTTGGTGCTGAACTGAGTCGTGTCTGCTGTGCTATCCTAACCCAGTCAGAGCTATCCGAGATCGTGTAGTTTCGGAGGAAATTGCCATGGATTAATTTTAGGTGCTATTATGACAGTTCCTTGGAGGGATTGAATAAAACCACGAAAAACTGTAATCAGGATAGCCATTTCACACTAGGAATTAATAATTGTTTAATTTTAACCGTCAAATCACAATAAAATATTTTATTAATATTAAAATATTATTACTACAATTAACATTTAA